ATGGCAAAACAAGCTGGAGAAGTTGAACTCTAAACAAAATACATTTCTAAGGCTTTTTGGATAGTAATTTGCACAGAGAGGGTGGCACGTTTAGGGCTCCTAGTAAGGTGGGTGCCCCAATTGTCACTTTATCACGAGGAGGTTGGATAGATTAACTCCTGTAGGGGGTTGGTTTAACAATGGCACGAATCCGACATAATACAAAGAATCTGCTACACACAATTATAAATTGCCAACCTTCAACAGTAGCAGTGTCATGACAACATGAGGCTCAAGGTTTCAATAGAACGAGCTTTTGACTATTTTCATCACACCTATAAGTAGGGTTGATAATAGAACGAGCTCGATCAAGCTAGTCGAGTATGTATTTTTAAACGAGTTTAAAAAATTATTTAAACTCAACTCATTTAAAAAATAAATAGAACGTGTACAAACCCAAAATGAGCTGAATCCGAGCCGTGCCCGAACATTTACACATAAACGAATCGAGCCTGTCGAGCTCATTTTCTAAACGAGACTAAAACATTGTTCAAGTTCCACTCGTTTAGAAAACGAGTCGAGCCTGAATGAGTCTCAAACAATCGATTATCAACCCTACCTATAAGCCGTAAAGTAACTTTCAAATGCTAAGTTTATAATCCGAATCCAGCAGTTTATTTTTTTCAAAACTTTAATCCTGCATATTAATTGGGTAGATACTTTCATATGAATCCACTCGACATATTAACTATAAAACAGATAACATGTATAATATTATTATAAATTAGTGCAAGTTTATCACTTTCCCCTGCAATGTAGGGCAACTATACTACACTGCAAGAGAAGGTGTTCTTTTCTCAACAACCCCTATAACTATGCAGACGAAGAAACAAATGGTTTCATTCAGCTTCTCTTTACATAAAAATACAAACTGCTCGTTTATAAATAAATATCACACCTCATTTTTATCTACCTTTTTCATAGAATATCTTCTTGCTCCATCCTTCTCCATAGATTCAGTGACAGGCCAGAGGAACCCATTTCTTCTATCTTTGTTATTAGCGGTAAATAAGAACGCCTAATGTCACATGGAATTCAATCTCCGAAGAACTCGTGGTGGTCTCCGCTGCTCCACTACTGGAATCAGGTTCTCCATGAGCTGCAAGTGAAAATAAAAAGACCAAACAAAACGACAGTAAGCACTAATTACTAACTCCATTTTGTTTTGATGGAAAAGAAAAAGAACCAAGGAAATTGCCAACTCCCCAGTCTGATGAGATGCATCGTTATAATTTTTTTGGGGTAAATTCATCGTGATAATTTTACTGACAACAACAATTTAAGAGTTATTCTACAATGAAATGACAGATACAACCAAAAAATTTATTACAAAGTGACGTTTTGAAACAAAATTTTTGAAATAGAACTTTGAGCTCATATCAAAGCAGGGAAGAAGTATATTCACCAGATATGCGCTTGTTACGATCATTCCACAATATGTCAAGTAGAACTAAAAAGAATTCCTAAATGAAACACTGTTCATACTCTCATGTTGCATGCACATAGAAAGAAAAAAGGAACAAAAAACAACTGCTAGAGATTAAAAAAACTATACCACCTCCACGAAAATGAAAATAGAATGTTAGATCACATGGTCACTAACTCAATCAAATCAAGCTTCAGACTCTACACAGACATTTGGAGCTGCTTCATGTTCTAATTNGCTCCATGAAAATGAAAATAGAATGTTAGATCACATGGTCACTAACTCAATCAAATCAAGCTTCAGACTCTAGACAGACATTTGGAGCTGCTTCATGTTCTAATTTTTTGCCTAAGCTTACTATTGCAATCCATCATCAAATAAGTTAATGTATAACTACACAGTGGATTGAAGATTTTAATTTGACTGGATTTTAAGGGCNCCTCCACGAAAATGAAAATAGAATGTTAGATCACATGGTCACTAACTCAATCAAATCAAGCTTCAGACTCTACACAGACATTTGGAGCTGCTTCATGTTCTAATTTTTTGCCTAAGCTTACTATTGCAATCCATCATCAAATATGTTAATGTATAACTACACAGTGGATTGAAGATTTTAATTTGACTGGATTTTAAGGGCTTAAACTTCTTTAGTAAACATTGACCAATTGACTATAGATGCACACTATGTTACATTGGCACAGAAAGGTGACATGGGTGTATGACATTATTTGGATGAAGACACAGCAATCTTGTACAACATAGCCCTGATTGCATATTATGCATCCACACAGACAAGCAATACACACAGTAACTCCTCTTCTGCTCCCCCCCACATCACTAATATTCCTTTGACTAAATTTCTCATTATATCTCTATCTCAAACTTTGGTCTCTGTTTTAATTCTTTATAATAAAACCTGTAGTGATGGTTTTCCAGATGTTCATACTCTTTTAACCAGCAAAAAGAGCCTATATCTCAAAATGTAATGTGTAGGACAGGTGCCTAGGAGTGCAAATAACATTGGCCAGGTGTATAAGACTACTAACGTATTTGGGTTATGGACATGGTCAAGACATGTCAGACACATTGTAAGTGTGAAGAAACATCAATGTACTACACCTTGCCAGCATAAACGTTCCTTGTTTGTGCTTCTGTGGATACACCAGGATTCAAAGCTCGTATCCATCCAACAAACAAGGGAAGAAACTAACTCCAAGTTACCTCTTACTGTATCATACAGAGCAGTATGACCGTGTAAAGGAAAGAAAGAAAAGGCCTTACAACCCAAAGATCAAAAAAATTTAGTGGAAGTAGAAATCAAATCTTTAAAAGGCTTATCATAAACATAAATCACCTGGAAAACAGTTTAAATTCCCAAAACCCGATATCTCATCTAGGAGGTGTTCTTTAGACAACATTTTCTTCATGAGATTAAAAGCAGATGGGAGGACTACATGGTTGCATATAGAAAAGAACAGGCCATGCTACTAAGTCCCCTATCTAAGAACGTTGCTCTGGTCAGTTTCAGTTTACACAAACTGGTCATGACTAGATATGCATGGCAATTGGCCAGTGGAAGAAGTAAACGATGAAAGGTGAGAAGGAGTGAACATACATAACCCCTGATAAATGAGTCATTCCGGACATCTCTTGTTGCCTTCAACATTCTAATAGTTACGTCTTGTCCCAATAGCAGTTCCCAATACAACTTCACAATATATGGTTACAATGATATCTATTAACAAGCTAAAAATGGTAATCTGCTATCATAGAGGAGGGGGAAGCAGAGCTAAGAAATGAGTATACAGGGTTACGGACAAACTTAAGTCCTAGATGCAAGGATAATAATATTCCAAGCAACAAAATTTGAATGCCATTAAATGTTTGAACAGTTGTCGAATATCTGAAAGCAAGTAAGATTCAGTAAGTATCAAGTGAAATTCCTACGACATGATGAATTGGCGAAATCATCCATATTCTTACAGGCAGCTCCAAAATCCCATGGAAAGAGAAATGAAAGTGACTTTTAACCATCTAGAAGAAATCATTTCACCTTACATTGCCTAAGAGACAAACTAAGAACAAAGTCTCCAATGGAGTGAAATTTTTTCCAATCTTAGGCTGAGCTTCGTCTCAAAGACAGCGTGGACTTAAGAGTATCCATTTTAAGGTACAGGGAAAAAATGGAATTTGAGCACAAACAATTTATTATATTCAAAAGTTTCAGAAAATATTGAATAGATGATCATGACATGTGCAACCAATTAACTAAGTACATCAATCTGTGGCAAGAAGCTAAGGAAATGTCAATGAATTCCAAAACTGCATCAACAACACAATGGCATGTGCAAATGCCAATCTAAAAAAAAATCAAATTATGAAAACTTATTTAGACAACCCATTTTTTTTAAGTCAATTAAAGCACTCATTTAATCTCAAATCTTAGTTCATAATTTTCTTTTCTAACCTCAGGAAAAAAAATGGCACTAATGGATTAAAATTAACAAGAGCAATGCATTTTGATTTTGCAATTAAACTTCAATAGGCACCATCTTTTTGTGTTTTCAATTCTGCAAATTTTCTTATATGGCCATTTGATAGACTGCTCACTGTTCATTCATGTCTTATATGATAGCAGTACTAGACAAAATTCATGACATGAATAATGCTGTAGCATAGTTGGTCCAAAGAAAGTTGAAAAAATACCTGTTTATACCTCTGCTTGGTCTGCTCAGCCTGCATATATAACTTTGATTATAAAAAGTTCTGAACAAAGTGACCATCGAATCTAACTAAATGTTTCTTTATGCAAGGAATCAAAACAAACTGTTGCTTAGAAATTGAAATTAACATTAAATAATGGTTATATACATAGAATGCAGTTTACTTCAAAACATAAAGATCCTGTCACAACCAAACATAAAGATCCTGTCATAAACAAAGAATTGAATAGCTTCATAAGCAAAATTGTTTGAATTAGAGAGAAAGGACTGGTGGCTATTCAGCTATTCTCAAAGTAAAAAAAAAATTAAGTAGGAAAGCAGTTTTGCCAAAAAGTAAAAGCTTACTTGATTACCATTTATCAAAAGTGATTTGCATGTGTTGTAGGATGTAAATCATAATTTATATATGTACATAGGTCTATTGTTGTACAAGCAATTAAGTTTGAGAGGAATGGATTCAACTAGGACAAATAAAAAGCCATATATATATATATATATATATTACTTAAAAAGGGAAAAAAAAAGGCAAAATACAAAAAAGTACTCAAAAAAAAAGTATTATCAAAAGGTATCCAAACATCCAACCGACCAATTTATCGGTGATAAAGTTTCCCCGATCAAATCTCCCAAATCCCAAATGAAAGTATAAATGTGTGTATCCATAATGAAATCGTATGTAGAGTTAGAAAACCAGTCACAAAAGCGCAGATTAGTCTTAGTGAACTAAAAGCCATAAGAAGAAAATCTAATTAGTAAATTAAGAATATTAGCTTGATATATAAACTGGAATTCAATTGATTGCCAACACAAAAATTGAAAATAATAAACTCGTTGAATAATTTGGCAGATCCCTGGCCGGTCTGCCCTTCCAGAAACAATTCCCATTTGTTAAATAGGTTCATGATCAAATTTTGGTCACCCAAAACATACACAAGACAAGACCCTCGCTCGAAAAGAAACATAAGATCACTATGCGACCACCAGATTTGGAGAATACCCCTCTTCCAGCAATATACTTAAGAGTTTATATAGCCATGCACGAGAGCTTAAACACAAAAGATACCTCTTCACTCACAAGCCTAGCATTCTCCTCCTCCAATTGCGTCACCAACGATTCCAACTCAACAGTGTAAGCCTGAAACAAGACACAACACCCAACTCAACAAGACACAAAACGTACTCATCGCTGCAAAACCCAGCTAAGAAAACTCAATGCCATCCCATCAAATGAACCAAAATTTGAGAAAAACTAACCTGTTTTCGTTCCCTCGACCTCGCTGCAGACTCTCTGTTCTTGATCATCCTCCTCTGCTTTTGCTGCGTCGCCTTATCAACCGGCGGCTCCTCCACAATTCTCCTCTTACCTCTCCCACCACCACTACCCCCAGCAGCACTTGTCCCCACAGCCACCATTCTTCCATCAATTCCATTCCCAAACCCCACCGGTTCAACCCCAAAACCTCCCATCCCGTTTTGCCCGGATTGCATGTGGGAAAACTGAGCCACATTCATCATCGGTTCCACTCCAAACCCTGACGTCGCATCTGTCTCTGGCTGAGCCATCACCGGAGAAACCCTGACGTCCTCCTCCCTCACCGCACCAGCTTTCGTCAGAAAATCCTCCAAAGTCATCCCCGACTCCCGACTATTCCCTCCACCGCTCACGATCTGCTTCCACACCTCATCCACCGTCTTGTTCCCTTCATTCTTCACACCTCCACAACCGTCCACGACGGAGCCACCACCACCACCACCACCATCATCGGTGGAGGGAGGAAATGAATCTGTATCGGCATAGATGTTCTTGAGGAGTTCGTCCATGTTCATTGAGCCAAAATTTTTGCTCTGTTCAGAGACTGTGAGGGAATGTATAGAGGATTGCTGGTGTGGCAGATCCGGATTCGCCGATGACGTTGACGCCATCACCTTCGACGACGCCATATACCGAGTTTCTAGCGTTTGTTTCTTCAGATTTTTCTGATAATTCTATCGATTTTTCTCTCTGAATTTTAGGGTTTAGTTCAGGATCGGAACGAACTGTGCTGTGAATCTTTGAGCTCCAACTGTGAGAACGTGAGTCTCGCTTACAGTTTTGAATGCTGTATATAGATACAGATATAGATCGAGAGAGAGAAGAGAGGGGAAAGCGAGAGGAAGTGTGAAGAGAGAGAAAGATGCTGATTCGCTGTATAGATAAGAGAGAGGAAATGAGGGTGCATGGAAAAGACATGTTCCCACTCCACAGGGGTATTTCTGTCATTTCAGCGGACCTGAGCTGTACAAACAGTCTTGAAGCATGTGTTCGTTAAGGTTTTATTTGGGCACAGCCGCTATTGTCAAGTTTGAGGTGTTGTGTGGTATTTTTAATGGGGAATTATATTCGGATCCACTCGTATTTGTAATATTTAATTAATATATATAAATTTTTTAAAATTTATACGCATCTAACATTTAGACTCATCGATTAATGTACGATAATATATTCGTTATTAAATTATACTCAAACCCTATAAAATTTGTAAATGTGTAATATTTAAACTCTTTAAATTTAAAATATTATAATTACACCAAAAATACTCTAATCAAATATAGAATATCAATATTTTAAATTTTATAACTAAAATTTATATTCTATTATGAAATTCATTGAAATAAAATTAAAATTAAAAATCTAATTTTTTCTTAAAAAATTATAATTTCTATACAATTGTATTATATGTTGAAATTTAATTGATCATTTAAACGACCAAATTAAACTACCAAATTATTTCAATTAAATATAAAAGATATTGTGTTTATTACAGTTTGACCTTTTATTTGATTTTTTTAATTTTATTCCAAAGATAGTATAATTGTATATTAATTATGATTTTTTATCAAAAAAATTAAATTTGTATTTTTGATTTTATTTCAATAAATAATATAATAGAACATGAATTTTGATTGTAAAATTCATTTTCTATTATGAATGACTTATACCTCTTATTTAATTTTTTTAGTTTTAATTCAATAGATAGTATAATTGTATATTATTTACGATTTTTTAAGAAAAAAATAGATTTTTATTTTTTAATTTTATTTCAATAAATGATACAATAAAACATAAATTTTAATTGTAAAATTTAAAATATTTAATATTCTATATTTGATTAAAGTTTTTACAGTCTAAGTATAACATTTTAAACTTTAGAGGTCTTAACAAATTTCAGAGTCTAAATGTAATTTATTGACAGATATACTAAACGGCAGGGATATAAGTATTACGCACATATAAACTTCAAGGGATTTGGGTGTAATTCTCCTTATTTTTAAATAGGCTGATAATTGAGTTTTGTGAAATTAAGTCGAGTCTGTCGAATTTGTCAAGCTTATTATTTTAAATGAATCTAAAAAATTATTTAAGTTCGATTTATTTAGAAAATAAATTGAATCCATAAAAAGTCAAACTTAAGTCAAATCCGAATAGTTCAATTATTTTCTATATAAATGAGTCGAGTCTTAAAAATGGGTACAGTAAAACACGAGCTGAGCTCGAATTGAGTCTTATCCGAGCTAAATTTAAATAGTTTGGCTCGATTATTAGCCCTATTTTTAAAAATGGGAGTTGTCTACATACC